TCCTTTGTCATCCACATGGCCTGTTTGGAAGCAAACTCACTGCCTCCCTCACTGAACAGTTCTGTAGGTGCTGCCCTCCCTTCTACTCCTTGTCCAAGTCTTTTTGTCCCAGAGAGAACGACCTCAGCAAAAGCAATGACTCAGGTACACCTGCCTTTACTTTAACCTATGTGAGCCATTTCCAGTTGACTTTTGGATGTTTTTAGAGATTTTTGATGTACTATAGGTTTGGGCTTTTGCATATGGATATCCAGTTGTTCTAGGATATTTATTGAAGGTGAACTCCTTTCTCCACTTAATTGCTTTTGAATCTTTGCCAGAAATCAACTGTCTGTTATGAGGGTGTTTATTTTGAGACTCCATTTTGGTACCTTGGTGGTTTGTCTGTCTTGTTATCAGTGCCATTTTTTCTTGATTGGTGTAACTTTGTCATGAGTCATGGGATTGGGGAGGGCTGGAGCTCTAATTTTGTTTCTTTATCAAAGTGGTTTAGACTATTCTGAGGCTTTTGTATTTCTACAGAAATGTAAGAATCAAAATGTTAATTTTTATGAAAAACGATACTGGCATTTTGATAAGGGATTGTGTTTCTAATCTTTATTATTTTCCTCTGTTTTTGGTTTTATTCTTTCATTTCCAATTTCTTAAGGACAGATATGAGGATATTTCATGACTTTCTTCTTTTCTAATAAATGTACTTGGTGTTAAAAAAATAGCTCTCAAATTCCTACTGCCTCAGAAGAAAACAGAAATGTTTTGAGTAGTTAACAGATTCAGAGCTCAGGAGATTTTCTTTCGTTCCTCTCGTGATCTCCATATGTGTTTAAAAAAAGGATTCTAAGACAGGAGAGTTGATGTGAAATAACTTTTTAAAAAAGGTTTTCAACGGAGTCCTGACTCCAGGAGACCTGACTGCACAAATACAAAAAGAGTTCCCAGGGTAACAGCAGTGCCTGGGTTGAACTCAAGTCATCGTGCTGCCCCCCAGGCTGTCACCCCTCTGTTGCTGGCACCAACAACAGTTGAAGGCAAGGTTTTCACCGAGACTTAGCGACCAGCAGCCAGGCTTCGCTGATCTGGACCGAGGGCTGGGCTGGGCGTCCTCTCCCTTCAGCTGACCTCAGGAACAAAGCGCTTTTCCTGTGCACTCAGCTGGGCAGGCATCAACGCAGCAGCGAGGCGGGAGTGCACCACTAGAGGACAACCAGGGGCTGCCTTCTCCCGCGGAGAATGCCTCAGGAGCGCGTGCCTGGCACAGCTGCTCCACTGATGTCGTTTCCTTTACAGTGTTTCTTTTATAGGACAGCTCTGCAGGGCTGCTTCTGCCTCTGTCCCCAGAGCCTGTCACACGTGTGCCTCGGAGCCACACACTCTGCTCACCTGCAGGCAGACTTTGGGGTCTCTGGGTAGCACCATCCCATAAAACTTTCTGGCAGGCTAGGGATGTTGCCTGTCTGCATAACCTCCAAGCCAGGTGCATGTGGTCATGGAGTATTTGCAGTGTAGCCAGCATAGCTGGGAGACAGTAATTTAAATGGATAGGCATTTCCCAGATTTAGCAAATGTACATTTGAATTTAAGCAACCACTAGAGACCACTAGCGGCTCCCCAACCCCCTCTATGGCGGGTTCTCAGTGTCCAAGTGCTGGAGGCTGGAAGTGGGGCTAAGTCTCACCTGGAAGCCTCCCACGCTCTGAGTCCTAAGCACCAGCCCGTCACGCAGATCTGAACTGGGGGCTTCAGCCCAGGCCAGCTGCATCCAGAACTCTCATGCAACCCCAGTGCTCCTTCAGCATGTGAACCAACATGGAGTCCCTTATGTCTAACCCTAGCTGCGTGGACTCTGAAGGCTGTGGAGGGAGCACTCGGCAGCAGTCCCCAGAAGGGGCCCCACCCAAGGTGTTCTCTCAGGAAAGGCCTGTCCTAACCCAGGCTACTGCAGGAATGATCAAGGCTGCACGTTCCAGCTAAGCAGTTCGTACAAGAACTCTGTCTTCACCAGGGAGCAAAAGGCAAACCCTGCAGCCAGCTTCGGGAACTGAAGATTTCTGAGGCCAAACAGCTTACGTGGATTTCTCTTTCTGTTTACAGATCTCCCTTTGGCTCCAGGCTCCCTTTGGCCGAGCACAGAACCTGTATCTCAGTTGAAGCCTGCTAGTCTGAGATAAGCCCATTTGCCCCAGGTTCCTGTCTCGCCAGGTTTCTCTTGAGGCTGACAAACCCTTTGGGCTAAATGTGCTGATTTCAGCATGAAGTCTTTTCCCTTTGGTTTACAGCGAGGTCATTGCCATAACGACCCAAGATTCAGCCTCTGGGATGTGCATCTTGTACCAAATCCTACTTGTCATTCCACAGCTCATTCCCAACGCTCCCCCAGCTACACAGCCCTGAATATATCACACCAGGGGAAGGAGGTGGCATTGTGTGGTGGTGACCCTGGCACAACTCTCACAGGGCCATGCTTGCTGCTGAATCTCCACAGCCCATTCATGGCCCAGTGATTGGCAACTCTGTCACCTCTGTTCTCCTGTGAATCCTGAACCAGCAACAGAGGCAGAAGTGGTGGGAGGGAAAGGAGAAGGGACAGAGGGAGACAGATGGCCAGAGTACCGGAGGAAACCTTGGCTCTAAGAATGTGTTCAAATACTGCATTACCAGGGATGGCTGATGGAGCTGAGGGTGGGCACTGGGCACTGGACAGGGCACTGGTGAACCAGCAGAGTGGTGGGTTGATAGGGACAAATGTCAAAGTGGGTCTGCTGGCAAACCTCTCCTGGAGGATGGCCAAGGTCTCCGAGTTGCCCCAAGAACTGTCCCGCCTCAGCTCCTGTCAGTTCTATCAGGAGGCAGCCATCAGTACTGAACAAAACCAAATTTCTTGTCCCAGAAAGTGAGACCCTTTTTGCTGTTCTGTGTCATCTCCACACTGGTCTCAGTGACACAGAAAGCCCAACAGCTTTCTGTGTATCCACAACACTGCTGTCCTGTAAGCCTCTGTGTCCACCTGACTCGTGTGGACCTGTCCAGTGCCTATCAGATGGGCTAAACACTGTCCTAGGGCCCAGGGGACAGTAGGCTGGGGAGCAGTGCTGCAGGACAGAGAGGAGAAGGCCAGAAAGTGGTTCTGCAGTCAAGCCACAAGCTAGGCATGGCAGTGCATATTTGTAATACTAGCACTTTGAAGGCTAAGGCAGGAGGACTGCCGTAAGTTTAAGGCCAGCCTGGAATATATAGTTAATTCAAGGCATTCCTGAACACACAGTGAGCCCTGTCTCAAAGACAAAAACAAAACAAAACAAAAACTAAAACTAAATCAAGTCACGGTCAGAGCTGGGAACAGTTGTGTTAAACCCAGTCACAAGGAAAGTCGATAAAGTGAAGTCATGGGGCTGAAACGTACCACAGCTGACCTGAGGTGTGGAGGAGGAAGTAGACACAAGTGGTGTGCGTGGGTGGGGAGGGACCTGGGACTTTCCCAAGCCTGGGGACCTGTTCCTTGTACATTTTCTCAAAGTGTGTTTTATAATGGCATGCAAAGAGAACCAGCAACAAAGGTCACTCAGCTCCCTCCCTGTGCTCCAGTTTAGTCCCCCCAGCTTGCCCTGCTGGATCTGTTTAGAAAGTCTCCTCTCTTCCCCTCTCCTGCAGGGGACAGAATGATTCTGTGAAAGCTGTGACTTACTGATGTGAAACCTTAATAAAGCAGAGTCGGGAGGCCACTGGAAGCGGTTCTCATGTGGTTTGGTAGCAAGAATCATCACTAAAGACTCAGAAAAGAATCGTAACCTTGCACAAAAATACTTGAGGACAATTACTCAGTAACTGCTCTCAGCCTCTGATGAGACACTTCCCTGTTCATTCTCACAATAGGGGATTAGCAAAGAACTCACGAGTCCGTTCTTGTTTTACTGTTAATTAACCTTGCCCACCATAGTGCCCACAGTGTGCGTATCGGGGATCACATCTCCTGTCGTTTCCAAATAAAATCTTTGTTTCGGAGAGCCGCTCTCTCTGCCACTCAATTTAGGTCTAAGATTTCCACGTGGAACAACGTTTTCCAGTGTCAGGAAAAGGTGAACTCAGCTCCATAGAGTTCATGGCTTGGTCAGAGGTTGTACCTACAGGAGGTGCCAGCTCAGTAACGAGTCTGTGTTCTGTTGCTTTCAACAGTTTCTCCGAAAGTGAAGAAAGCGTAGACTGCAGGCAGCGTCTGCAAACAGCAGCTCACACCATCGTCCGCATTTGCTGCCAGGGTCTCACACTCCGCACGTCTCTGAAACTGAGTTTATGGCCTCTCTCCTCCTCACGGTTGTGCTGCTCATCTCTCGGTTCCCATTAAATGGGATGTTTTGGGATGGCTTCTTTGGATGGAGATCTTTGGATGTGGGAGATCCCAGGCCGGTTGGTTCCTTCTGTAAATTCCACATGCTGTGTGCAACTCAGCTTGGACGGCCCTATCCCCACCCCCATAAAAGCCTTGAGATTGCGCTGCAGGAGTCACATGCAAGGGATCTCACGACGCACGACCGAGGCCTGCGAGAGAGAAGTGAGATTATCCGGAAGCGCTCGGATGTCGGGTTGGTCACTGCTGTGGGCCACGGGAGCCCACGTCCACGCGCCCTCTGAGGACCCGCAGCGAACGTGGTCCTCCAACATCAGCGAGCGCTTGCGCGTTTGCTGATTCGAAATCGCCCACCATGGCCGGCTGGTCAGCTCGGGAGCGCGCCCAGGAATCTGCGAACCAAATAACCATGCTAGAGATTCCTGTGCAGCGAAGCCCCCGAAGGACTTCGTTCCGATTGATGAGGAGAAACTGGAGTAAAATTCCGAATCAATGGCGCGCAGAGGGTCAACGCAGCGGAGAAGGGACCACCATATCTACCTGCTGCTTCAGAGACTCCTGGGAGACGGGGGCGGAACGGGATGTGACGTCACGAAGCCACGCCTCTGAGGCGGGGCCGGGGGCAGCCGTGAGGAGCGACGCGATGACGTTTGCGCCCGGCCATGCCCCCCTCAGGACGACGTGAGGGGCGGGGCCAGATGGCCGGCTGGTGTTGTGTGGGTTTGCTGGGTCGCCCTAGGATCGCTTGCGGCGCGATCGTGGAAACTGAGGCCAGGGACCAAATCGAGTGAGGTCCCACGCGAGGGTCGCACGTGCAGAGATCCGCGCGCGGGGCCAGACGCAGGAAGGAGCTCACCGGGCAGCTGCTGCTTCCGGAGACTAGCAGGGGACAGCAGTCTCTTCTGCCGCCACAGAGAGGTCACGAGACAGACTTGAAGTGTAGCAGCAGGTCTCCTGGTTGGGATTCTGGATTCACGAACCTTGGAGAGGGGAGGTCAGCGGGACTTTAAGGTGGGAAGGAGGAAACAACTTAGAGAAGAAGAGGGTGGTGAATGTCAGGTGACAGGTGGCTTCTTTGCAAAGATCAAAGTCAGGAGACCTGGACTGACTGGGACTTCCTGTGTGCAGAAGTGGGCTGCCGGCCCCTTGGGGCTCCCTTCTGTTTTCAGTGCGACCTCGAGGCACTTAGGAGAGTGACCCCACTTTGGTCTAGACTGGGGGCCTCAGGGCAGGAGCTCGGACCCAAACCATAGCCTCACATGATGTGACCAGTGGGAGGGACAAGCAGGCGGCATAGTGACGCTAAGCCAGCCCTTCTGCCATGCAAGTGCCTGCTGTGGTTTACTAAGGACCAAGGAGCCCAGCTGCAGTGTGTGCCAGACCCCACTGCCCTGAGTTATCCTGGCAACAGGCTTGGTACAGTCAGCCAACAGGAGTTATAACGTTGGGGTTGGAGCCAAGGCAGTCTGGTTTGTTGGTCTTGTTCACAACAGCTGTGCCCTGATGCGGGACTGTTGGTGGCCTCAGGTAGTGTGGGGACCCTCAGACACTGGTTGGGATCGTGGCATTGGGTAGAATCTTGGGCGATTGACTACGGAGCTTGAGTGTGTTACCTGGAAAAGAAGGACACTGAGAGTCCTTGGGCCAGTTAGATGCTAATGAGGTTGCCTTGCTCCTCCACCCAGTTACCTGCACACAGTAGTGGCTCAGCCATCAGAGGGCACCACAGTAGGCTTAAAGGGAACAAGAAATGCAGGGGTTCTCTAGGCAGCAAAGGGCGCTGTGGGGTTGATGGTTAATTTGGCTATGGGCCCAAGGGTGAGAGGTTCCTGGACACAGTCCCTGGTGTAGGCTGAATAACTCTTTGCCATAGACTTGTGGAATCGGTGCTGACAGGCTGGGTGTGGGGAGAAGAACTCTGTCCCATTCTGTGGGTTGTGATGCTTCCTGCTGCATTAGGTCAGTCCGAATGTCCCCATTTTGATTTCTGATTGTGAATCTTGAGTTTTTTTCTTCCTCAGAGGGTCAGCCTAAGTTTGCCAGTCTTGTCAGAGAATCAGCTTTGCTTTCCCCTGGGTTTTCTCCGTCCCACTAGGTACAGTCTCCTCTTCTCTGTTCTTCCTTCCACTTGCTTTCTGTTTAGCTCCTGCTGCCCTTCCTGTGTCCTCAGAGTTGCTCCAGGAGCTAACTTGGGGTAGCCCGTCCTGGGCCCCAGTTCCTTCTCTGCCCCTTCACAGCAGGAAATCGCGGTCCCCTCTGAGCCTCTGCTGCACCTGTGTCAGTACAGACCGCAGTACTTGGCCCACGGTCACAGAGGGCCAAGGGGGACTGGGTCCCTGGAACTCAGACAGCCATGCCCCCCCTTCCCTCTCATCTAGGAAAGTTTGACTGTGACCATCACAAGCAGGGTCCACCCCTAGACTATTTCAAGGTCACATGGAAGGAATTGAAAGTCACTCTGGGCCTCCAGGCCTGGACCCAGCTCTCCTCGCTTACTGCAGGCCTGGATCCATGAGCCCTGCCCTCTAGGGCTGTGATTAGCCAAGACTGTTAGAGGAAGCTGCAGGCCACCCAGAAAACTACAGAGGCCTTCTCTGGTCCACATGTCCGCATGTTGGCAGAAGCCCATGCTCAGAGGTCCAGTGGCAGATGGCCTGTGTACACGTGGGTGGCAAGGTCACGCCTTGCCGTGTGTAGCCAGAGAGGATGGAGGAAGCTCCCTGGCTGTGGGCTGTGAGCTCTGTGGGGAGCTCCCTGGGTCACCTGGGGTCAAGGTGTCTTTAGGCAAGGCTGTGGCAATGTCAGCCTACTCTGGATCTGCCCCTGTCCCCACCTGGGATTCAGGTTTTGCTGCTGGCTGTCCTCTGCTAGGCGGGGTGGAGATGAGGCCAGGTTAGCGAGCTTTGTCCTCCTCCTCAGCCCAGGGCCCAGCGCAGGTCACCTTGCTGCCCTCAGAACATGGCCTTGCTTTCCTCTGGGCAGCACGTAGCCCGGCGTGTAGGGAGTGATGTGGGCCACGGGGCTCAGGCCTGTGCTCCGTGCAGGATGGCGCCTGCACCGGAAGGAAGCGGTGATGTCCTGTGGTCAGATCCCTCTAGGGGACCCCTTGATGCCTACCGAATGCGAGCCTCCTTCAGCCCCAGGGAACTGCAGCTCTTCTGGGAAGGCGAGGACACACTGCGCTTCAAGGTGAGGTCCAGAGCTGCAGCCCCTGTGACCGGGACCTTGGTCTGTGGGCAGAATGGGGTTGCAGCCCTGAAGCTGTTCGGCTTCCCTGGCCACCTCTGTGTGGCGGGGTGAGGCTTGTCCCTGAATACTGTGAGGCCCTCTCCTCTTTGGACCCTGAATGACCAGGAAGACAGGAATGGGTCAGACTGTATTCTGGGCACCCCAGGCCTTGAGGGGCACATTCTGTCCTCGGCCTCCAGCTCATCGACCTGTCCCCTGCGTTTGCAGAAGGCCGTCTTCTTGGCTTTGGAGAAGGACCCGCTCTTCGCTGGCTCCCGCGGGATGGACCTGTCCCTGGAGAAGTACCGCGAGCTGAGCTTCCTCCGATGCAAGCGCATCTTTGAGTACGGCTTATTTGGCTTGGGCAGCCTGGACCAGAGCCTGGGCAGCCTGGACCAGAGCCTGCTGCGGTTCCCAGTCCTGTTCTCTTGCCTGGGCGCGTATGACTGGTCTCTGGGTGCCAAGTTAGCCCTCCACCTGATGGTGAGTCCACATCCGCGTAGGGCCACATGCAGTCACACTGTCCACAGCAGCTGCTGTTCCCTGCAGTCCACTCAGCTTTTGCGATGTGGTCAGAAGCCGGCCGTGTGGTCCCGCACACCTGAACAGCGCAGTGCTGTGAAACCTGAGGTCCCAGAGTTCCCTGTGCATTTGTGTATGCACTGGGATCCAAACGGGAGTGTAAAGTTTTAAATTTGTGACAGGAAGACACATGTCGCTAACCACCCTGAGAGCATTCTCCCCAGCTCTGGAGTCCTCTTCCCTGAGGGCCTTCAGCGCGCTGTCCTGGCTGCCTCTGTCCAGTTGTTTCCTTCCACGGTCACTTTGACTCTGGTGAAAAGCCAGAAGTGACACGGTGCCGGGTCCGAGACTAAGGTAGATGAGGACTAGGTCTTGTTTTTCTGACCTGGCTAAAGACACTCAGGAAAGAGGACTCCAGAGCTGCTGCAGGAAGGGCCAGGAGAGTGGGCAGTGTTTGGAGCAAGGGGAGGACTGTGGGGAGTTCGTGGCAGTGAGTCCTTTACTGTCATCATTTTTTTTTTGTCTTTTTGAGACGGGGTCTCACTATGCAGTTCAGGCTGGCCTTGAATGCACTTTGTAGCTCAAGCTGGCCTCAAACTCACAGCAGTTTTTCTGCCTCAGCTTCTAGAGGGCTGGGGTTACAGGTGTGCACCACCACTCCCAGCTTGTAATAATTTTTTTTAATATTTTATTTTATGTATTTATGTTTTATTTTTTGTGTTTTTTTTGTCTTTTTCATTTTTATCGGTACCAGGGATCGAACTCATGACCGCCTGCTTGCAAGGCAGGTGCTTATGCCGCTGAGCTAAATCCCCAGCCCCTATGTATTTATGTTTTAAATTTTATTTTGAAGATAGTAAAAATACTACAGAACAAGACAGAACAAAGCCAATTGAGACAATGCAGTGAAATTGGTACAGAACTTCACAGCAGGATATTGGGATAGTAGTAATAGGTACTATAGTATATCTTATAATCGTCACAATAGCTGTCCAGCCAATCAGGTATAGCAAAATCAAACCGAAAACAGAACATTATAAAACCAGTCGAAGGAGAATATTGAATAGAGCAAAACCATCATTACAAAACATAATAGTGAAAACCACCTTTGCCTTCAAACCAAAGGTAGAAGGAAATCCCCCATATTTGCTATACTGCAAGAGATGCTGAGACCTCTGTCCCCAGTAGCTATGGGGTGGGTAGGCTTACAGGAGCGCTGGTCCCCCTGGCCCATGCCAATAATTTTTTTACCAATAATTTTTTAAAAATAACATTTAACAAACCCATTATTTCTGATCAGCCCATGTGACATTGTGTACTATCTACGTGGCTCAATGGGAAGGGAAAGTGGTCTGAGCCAGACAGCAGTTTCCTTCCCTTCATCCTCTCGGAGACAAGCCTGGCCCACGCCGGGGCCCTCACCCACGCATGTCCTGCGTGTGGTAGCCGTCTCTCTTCTCCACCCTCCCTCCTGTCACCCAGCCACTCTCAGACCCTCAGGCTGTGTCTCGGGTGCCTTTAGTGCGAAAGGCGGGCCAGGTCTCATCCCTTTGAACCTCCCCCCTCCCCGGGGCTACGTGGCAGGGTGGGCCTGCCTTGTGGAGTCAAGCCTTGTGGCTCAGAGGCTGACACCCACCTGCTGGCTGCGTCGCTGACTGCACTGTGTTTTCAGGTGTTTGGATCAGCTCTTTACAGCCTTGGCTCTGAGCGGCATCTCAGATACATTGAAAAGCTCTTGAACATGGAGGTGGGTCCCGCCTGGGAGCAGAGGGCCAGGTCCTCCTCCTTGTCCCTGCCCCCGAGCATCTGGGAAGGGCAGGAGGCAGGAGAGGGTCACCAGGAGCCTGTGCCAGTGGACCTTGGTCCACTTCGCTGTAACAGTCAGGCACAGGTAGTGTGGACTGACCCCTCCATTTCCCGTTCTCCTGGGCAGTCCTCACTACCCTGCAGCCCAGAGAGGGCGCTGCCACTCCCTGGGCCACCTGCTACCTCTTGGGCAGGGTTGTCATGCAGTAGGACAGGATGAGTCAGCCTCTCATCAGGTGGGGAGTGGAGGCCAGGGCCCATCTGGCCCTCTGGGGTGGACATGGCAGGTCCCTGCTGGAGCCTGCCAGGGGCTCTAACTGCTCCTGGCTCTGTGGTCCGCATCTAGATCTTTGGCTGTTTCGCTCTGACTGAACTGAGCCATGGGAGCAACACCCAGGCCATCAGGACTACTGCGCACTACGACCCTGCCACGGAGGTAGGTGTCGGCTTGCATAGGACAGGCCGGTGGCAGTAGCTAAAATGCCATGAGGGACATGGTTCAGAGTGGAATGCAAACCTGAATGCACCTATACTGCTCGTGAGAGATGCTCTGGAGCCAGGAGTAGTGGCACAGGGCTGATCCCAGCAGGGAGGCTGAGGCAGGAGAATCACCACAAGTTTGAGGCCAGACTGGTCTATGTAATGAGTTCAAAGCTGGCCTAGACTACATAGTAAGACCCTGTCAAAAAATCCGTCCCCCAAAGGCACCAAGACCATGTGTCACGGTAGGCGTGGGAGCCTGTACCCTGTGTGATGGGAACCTGGGAGGAGCATAGCATGTATACCCCTCTGGCAGGGACAAGGAGCCCCCATGTGGGGGCTGCTGTGGGGGCCCCAGCCTGGTCAGAGCAGGCTGAGGGGAGCTGCCACGCTGCAGAGCCTCGTGACCCCTGCGCAGTTCCCAGGCCTTGGGATTCTGTCTGAATCCTCTCTGGCCTTGTGGCTCCTTACACCTCCCCTCCCCTTGGTGCTTGAGACCTCCGTGATGTCCAGGTAGAGGCCCAGGCTGATGGGCGGCCAGAGGATGGTGCCCCATACCTGGCCGCAGGGTCATCCTGGGTCTCGGGTAGCTACCCTTTCACAGCCTTCTCCTGACTCCTAGTGCCCAGGTACAGGTGAGAGGGACAGCAGGAGGGCCCACTCGGGGCCACTGATCACGGGACAGCAGACGCCAGCGGGGTCCCTGCTGTGAATATGGCTCTGATCCCGGGGGTTGAGTGGGAGCCCAGTGTCTGGACACGACTCTACTGTCGTGGTGGGAACGCAGTGGGGCAGGTCTCCAGGGAAAGAACCCAGCAGGGAAGGGTAAAAGAAAAGGCCCTCAGCAGGGCCAGCCTGTCCAAGGTGGTGTGTGACCGCGGGTCCCATCCAGGAGTGTTTCAGCAGGTAGCGTTTTTTTTTAATACTGGGAATTGAACTCAGGACCTTGTGCTTGCCAGGCAAGGCACTGCACCTCTGAGTTATGCCCCTTGGCCCAGGCAGTGTTTTGCACGAGTCTTATTGCTTGAAAATTCGTCATCATTTTCTGGAGAAAGGACCTATGAAAAACCGCTCTGTTTCTTTTCTTTTTTTTTTTTTGTCTTTTTCATTTTTATCGGTACTGGGGATCGAACTCACAACCGCCTGCTAGCAAGGCAGGTGCTTATGCTGCTGAGCTAAATCCCCAGCCAACCACTCTGTTTCTAAACAAGCCCCGACCCATCCCACGCAGAGCCAGGAAAGGCAGGCAGGATCCATCCAGACCTGGATTCCGGGACTTGGAGCCTAGAACACTGGCTCCTCGGGAAGGGAGCCTCTCTCCCCGAGTGTCGCAAGGTGATCACCCCGACTTCCCTCCGCAGGAGTTCATCATCCATTCCCCTGACTTCGAAGCTGCCAAATTTTGGGTGGGCAACCTGGGCAAGACAGCGACCCACGGGGTGGTTTTTGCGCAGCTGTACACGCCAGATGGCCAGTGCCACGGGCTGCACCCCTTCATGGTACAGGTAGGTGGGTTTCTGTGAGCATGGATTCGTACCTGGCGGGGACTCCGCGTGGCAGTGTTCTGCTGCAGGGCTGGGTTTCTGTCTTCTAGACCTCACGTCTTAGTTACTCTCTCCTTGCACCTGGAAGCCACAAATTAAAGGAGAAGAAGGGGATTGTGGCTCACAGTTTGCAGCTGGCTGGCTCCGAGGCAGGCAGGGATTGTGGCAGAAGGGCCTGGTGGAGATCAGCTCCAGGCGGGGAACCAGGAAGCAGAGAGCTAGCAGTCCAGGGGGAGGGAGGGAGATAAACCCTTTTGGGCAACATCCCAGTGACTCTCCCCAGACTTTCCCTCCCAATATCACACCTGGCTGTAAACCCATCAGTGGATTAACAGTTCAGAGAATCACACTCCGTAAACCAGCATCTCCCTAGGCCCCACCTCTGCTCACTATGGCTTTGGGGGGACTTGAGATAACACATTCTCCCAGGGGTCCCAAGGCCCAGGCCTCACAGGAGGAGGTGTGCTGTAGGTGGCAGAGGAAGCTTTACCCATTGCTCCCTCTTTACCTTGAGTGTAGAGTGTGGAGTGTTGGCAGCTGTCAGCTGTCAGGTCATCGGGCATCAGAGTCTCACAGAATCCCCGGCCTGGCCTGTGAGCACCTGCTGAGCCTCCTGTGAGCTGCGCGGGTCCTTGGTCCCCCGTGCTCAGAGGTGGGGACCAGTGTTTGAGACCACAGAGCCACAGCACTTGAGGCTGTTTCCCAAGTGATGGTAAAACTGCACCCCAGGGTCCTATCACCTGCAGAGCCCACTGCTGCCCCTGCACTGTAGGTCCCAAGCTCCGGAGCAGACGACCTGGGGCCCTTGGTCAGGAACCATGATGGGCGCCTGGCCTGGCTCAGTGGGTGAAGGGGCCTGGCTCAGTGGGTGAAGGCTGTCAGATGCATGTAGGACTCAGTCCCCCTAAGGGTCATGGGAAATGGGAGATGGAAATGCTGTTTTGTTTTGAGGCAAGGTCTCACTATGTAGTGCAGGTTGGCCTTAAACGCACTATGTAACTGAGGTTGGCCTAGAACTCATGGCAATCCTCCTGCCTCAGCCTCTCGAGTGCTGGGATTACAGTTGTGTACCAACACCTGGCTGGAAATGCTTTTTAGATATGGGTGACACTGCCTAGTGAGTCTGTTTCTGGCTCTGGAATGCCTTCCTCGATGCAGGAATTACCAGGGTATTTGTAATGGCTGCGTTCTTGGTAAGCTGGAAGCTGGGGTTATTTTGTCTGATGACGTGCCCACGCTCGGTAATGTTTTCCCCTCTGTGTGAATCAGCTTTCCACAGCTATGGGAAACCATGAGAGGCGATCGCTCTGGGGGAGGAAAGATTTGTTTCTGAGACCACATCTCCATCTGTGGTCACTTGGTTCCATCAGTTTGGGCCCAGGGCGGTGGGAAGCACTTGGGAGCAAAGTTGCTCCCATACGGGGGCGCCAAGCAAGGGGGCGCCAAGCAAGTGCCGGGGACCAGAGGGGCTGGGAGGACCCCTCCCCCGACCAGCCGCTGAAGGCTCTGCCTCCCCGGGGGCTCCCTGGACACCTCTCCCTCTTGTCTTGGTTGGCATTGTTGCCAGTGGATTTGTCTTAGCAGGTTGAGAAAAATTCATTGAGTCTTCACTGAGCCTCTTGAAAGACTTAAGGAAAGGGCAAAGATGCTGTGGTTTGGATTGCAGCCTTTTTCAGTTTTTAAATATCTTTGGCCTTCAATTAAGTTAGATGTTTCTTTCTCCAAATAAAGGAAACTAACAATTTGTGAATAAGTAAATTCCAAGCTAGAGCAGATCTGTCTCTGTCTCTGTCTCTGTCTGTCTCCTCCCTCTCCCATCTTTTCCCTCCCTCCTCCTCTCCTCTCCTCCCCTCTTTCTTTCCCCTGTGCTTCTCTCCCCTCCCGCCCTCTTGCTTTTGTGCTGGGATGGAGCCCAGGCCTCCCCACACTCTGGCGTGAGCTGCACCCCAGCCATGGGTATTTCTGGTTCCCTGGCTCATCGCTGCGGGTGCTGTGGATGCCATGAGTTGGGTCATGTGCTGTGGCGGGCACCCCCATGCCCGCTGGGGTGAGGCCTCCTGTGCTGCATACAGGTATTCCCCTGGGACAACAGGGCCTTCCACACACAACAGCCCTGAGCCTGGGGGGAGGAGGTGGCAGGATCTGTGTGACTGGGGTCCTGTAGAGCGAGCCCTGGGTCCTTTCTCTGCAGCTTGCCCATGGGGGACCGGTCACCCGCTGTGTATGTGTGTGGCCGTCACCGGGGCATGGAACGCTGCAATCCTGCTGGGGTGGAGCAATACCACAGAAAGTCACCCTAGAGACTGCAGGCCAGAGTTCACTGCCCTGGAGGCGGGAAGCCTGGGTCAGGTGTGGCAGGGTCCTGCTGCTCCCCAGGAGAGGGCGGCCCCATCCTGCCTCTCCCAGCTCCTGGGGGTGCAGGTGTTCCTGGCTTGTGGCCACGTCCCTGCGGTCTCTGCCTCTGTCTCCACGTGTTCTCCATGTGTGCTGTGTCCCTTCCTGTCTCTTGTGAGGACCTCTGTCATGGCATTTGGTGCCAAGCTGGGTAATCCAGGATGATTTCGTCTCACGATCCCTACTTCCTCATGTCTAGAGACCTTATTTCCATATCAAGCCCTCTTCCTGCATCCTGAGGTTGGGACTTGGCTATGTCATTTCTAGGGGACATGATGTGATGAACCTTCCTGACCCTAGTGGAGGCCATTACTGCCCCCCCCCCCCCGTTTTGTGCAGATCCGGGACCCGAAGACACTGCTCCCCATGCCAGGTGTGATGGTTGGCGACATGGGGTGGAAGCTCGGGCAGAACGGCCTGGACAATGGGTGAGTGTCCCAGGGAGCCTGGTGGCCATCCTCCCCGGCTCCCTTGCTTGAGATCAGCCCTGAGATTCTGCAGGTCCTGGGGTGGGGCCTGCCATCTGCCACTTCCCCAGGCCGCGCGTGCTGACCTCACCCTGTGGGACCCTGGGAGGTGGCTCTGACAAGGGGACACCTGGCCTCTGTGTGCCGTGCCCTGTCCTATGTGACCCCAGCCCCGGGATGCCTGCCTCTTGTGATAGCTTGGATCCCAGAATAAAATCCAAGGAAGCAAGAAATTAAAATTTCAGGAGCAAAGGCTTTATTTTAGGCCAAGGCCTGGTGACACAGCCTCCAGGAGCCAATTTGGAGACTGCGCACCTGACAGCTAAAAGGCAAGCCTTTTATCTTGTAAAAACCACAGACAGCTGCTGGCCTCACAATGCAAGGAGGAGGATGGGGGTGTGGCGCACAAAAGAACAGGAACACGGTGATTACATTGGGAAGAGCAAAGTTCAGATAAGAGTTGGGCTAACAAGCAAGTCTCCCTACATACAAGCAAGTTTAGATTGGGCAAACATCTTCTTTCCCTCAGCAGAGAATAGAGAAGCCTAGCAGTAATTAACAACCCCTGTTAGCTTATTTTAGCACAACATCTGTTATTTGTAGAGGGCAACAATGGTTAACATATCAATTAGGTAAGATTTTACAATTTTTACAGAGGAGAGCATTTCTTAAAGAACAGCACATTTTATTACAGATAGCCGGGTGAGGGGTAGGGGAGGGGGTTGCAGGAAACTGATACCTAAGGCTTTTACAGCTTTCTCAGGAAATTGAAACTTAACCTAGAAAGATAGGAAGGGAGGGAGGGGGCTGAGCGGCGCATACAGAACAGGAATGAGGCACAATGGTTAGAACCAGGCTATAACACCTCTGTCCAGTCCTCCAGAAGACAGTGCCCCACGCTCAGGCCAGGCCAGCCCTGTCTGCCTCCTCCTATGCGGGGCTCAGGCTCAGCATGGTTTTCCTGCTCCGGCTGGGCTAGGGTGGGAATTGGCTGAGCTCCGGGTTCACTGCAGTGAACAGCTGGAGCATGTGGGTCTGGGACCCCAGGGACAGAGCACAGTGCCTGGCCTAGGCCTGAGAGGTCTCTTAGGAGTGCTGGTGGCCAGACTGAGGCCAGGGTTAGGAATAGTGTCTAGCTGGCGTGGGGACAGCACGGGCCAAGGCTACCTCTGGGGCGGGAGCAGCTCACAGGGCCAGGCGGGACAGGATCAGGACTGCCACCCCATGCTACTTAGGCCTGCCGCCCCAGCTGGGCTCCCCTGCGAAGTGGCCTGATGACCACAGTCCCTTTGCTTCCTGAGCCTTGCAGTTCTGTCCAAGTCTAGGTGTCTGGCTCCTTGGTTCCTTCTTCTCTTCTAGTGCCTGTAGTCCTCGCAGTGCCCTGGGTGGAGGCCCATGCTTACCAGCAGGCAGAAGACAGTGCCCTGTAGTTGGCCATAGGGTCCCAAGGCCCCACCTGGAGAAATGTCCTTCCATCCTGGGTGGAAGGCAGGTGTGGGCCCAGGGAAGGTCTCCCCTGTCTGCTCAGATCTTGCAACAGGTGAGCTGCAGATAGGGTGTGGGGTGGCATCAACCCGAGACAGGAGGCTGTGCCCTGGGCACTGCATGGTTGCCATGTGGGTCCTGAGGGCTGAGTGTACCTCTTTGCACTGTAGTACCTTCTGCCTGCAGCCCGACTGGCTATTGGATGGCTGCTTGTCTTGCTTGAGAGTCTGCAGGTTTATTTTGGGAGATCCCAGAGAACCCTGGGCTTGGTTTCTCCCACACAGTGCCTGCTCAGGAGGGCTCGTTTGTGCTGGAGTGGGCTGGCCTCGAGGGCCAGCGAGTGGAACCTGGCCACAGGGCATTGTATCCATATGAAGGTGCTGTGAGGCTAAGAGACCCTGGGTACCTGGAGCCCTCATGGCAGTGATGAGCTGAGGGGTGGTGACAAACTGAGCCAAAGCTCCCATTCATTCGGAAGCAGCCCTGGAGAGGGCCCAGCCTGCTGGTGGCTGACCCGGTAATGTTGGCCTTCTGCCTGCGGGTTGCAGAGTTGTCCAGCAGAGGGCGACAGAGCTCGGGCACACTGCACCCTGGCTTCTGTGGCCCTAGCGCTGCTTTTGAAAACCAACTTCAAAACTTTTCCATGTGAAAAAAGCAGCATTGTGTCCCCTGTCCATCTTCGGCACAGACACGTCATCATAACCCGTGAATGCTTCCGAGTGTTTGTGAAAGGTGTTCTTGACATTGTGTGAGCCTAGTCATCCGAGTTGCTATGGGAAGCACTGATGTTTTTAAGTTTGTTTCTTTGCTGTTACGCAATAATCGTAATTTTGCACAACGCTGTTGTGAAATTACATAGATTCTCCTGTCCTGACAACCGTGCAAATATCCCCAAATATCACCACATAATGCGTGGGGTAGGGAAGCCACAGTACAGACTGCTAGGATTATTTCCAAAAGATGAAAAATATTTCCAAAAGATGAGAAGTATAAAATAAAAAGCGGCCTTTATTCTGAGAACACGGAGAGATGACTGGCACCCCCACCGCTGGCGTCTGGCAATCTCTCCGGCGGACACATGGCGTGGGGGCATGTAAATAGCCTCGGTTTGGGGTGGAACCTAAGGCGGGCATTAGGGATACACAGGTAGCCCATTGGTCCTAGGTTTGGCGCCATATGTAAATTTCCAGGGGCGGGAAGATGGCGTCACAGGTAATTTCCTAGGGGCAGGGGAGATGGGGCTTCCTGCTTCTGGTTGTGGCTTTCCTGTCTACAGTGTCCTATCTGGGCCAAAACCCTTTAAATCCCGTCTTATGATTATTATTATGAAAAGGGGCGAAGATTTCTCTCTTTAACTGCTTCCTGCTGACTGAGGGCGCTGTACTGGAGCCTATGGGAGTCGATGGGATGAAGGTTGATGCCCAGGTAAACGCTGGTGCCAGGTGTTTTAGCCAGGACAACTTCACTGGTGAATGCACATATGTCAGACTGGAAAAACAAAGAGACAAGATGTTATGAGGAGACATGGCACTGTCATATTTAAGGACCCAGGTGAGGTAGAAGGAAAGGTGCCTTTGATTTAGACATGTTCCATGGTAAGGCAGAATTCTGAAAATTAAATGTGGGGTTAGGAGGAGTGGAGTTATGAGAGGTGCTTACTCCCCCATCTGAAAGCATAAAAATTAAGACGGTAGGTTGGTGAGGCTTGTCTTTGGTATGCATGATGTTGGAGTCTGTAGGCAATACTGTTAAAGAGTCCTGCTGTAAAAATGATCATTAATAGAATGTAAGAAATTAGGAACCAAAGTGGATAACAAAACATGACTTAGCCTGTTAACTGTGGCTGCGAAGCCTTCATGAAACGGAGATGGGTGGGTGACAGAAGATGAGATGACCACTCAGAATGATCAGATTTAGGGCTGGGAGGGCATCCCTTAGCCTGAGTGATGTGAAATCAGGATGGCAGTCCAGCAACTTTGATTTAGGCATGGGTCACTGTAACCTGGTTGTAGTCCTTGGAATGATTTGCTGTAACAGAACTTTAGCAAGTATGAGAAAGGCTTTTATGTATCCTGAAAAAGTATAAAGCAAGTGAGAAGACAAAAATGTCTTGACAAATTGGTGAACAAGAAAGGAAGGGGGTGGTCTGTATCACTGAGGAGAGGTCCACCAGCGACAACAGGTGGAAGCTGCGGAAGCCTCAGTGTGTCTACGTCAGCCTGTATAAAAGGCATTTTAAGATTTAGGACTGGGACCTGCACAAAATAGGCTCTGTTTATAAATGGCATAGGTTGACCATCAATACCCTGTCATAGAGATTGAGGACTTAATATAGCAGCCTGAATACTCAGGAAGAACTCTGTATATGGCCTCTATGTCCACAAATATAGAGAATGTCTTACCTGAGACTTTAGTGGGACTTGGAATCTGAGATGGACACCTTAAAGGGGGCTGTTGTTGCCCTGAACCCCCTCAGTCTTCAGCAGCAATTTTTGTCAGTGATGAATCTGGCAGTGTTGACATTTCCTGTGAGGGCTAGAACTTAGGATGACTTACCCACACTTTGGTGACTAGGACAGTCCAGCAGCCCTGAAGTAAGGTCTCAAAGAACGCCAGGATGGGGCATTTTGTTGTCCAATGTCTTCTGCTGCATTTGAGCGTGGTCCATGGGGGGTTAAGCAGCTCCACCTTGTGTAGGTTTACCTGCCTCAGAACTCCAAGTGTCACAAGTGTTAAAAATATAAAAAAAACATATTAAGATCTCTCTAAGGTTTGAAGGTCAAGTTTTGCCTTTTTGTTTGGGATTTGGACTATAGTAGAATTAAGTAAGTATGCAGGAATTTAATTTTGGCATTTTAGATTAGAGAGCAGGCTTTATCTGGATGGCACATCACTTTTTTATAGGGTGACACATAGAATTAACAAAAAAAGCTTTAATCTGTCTAAAAAGGCTTTAATGGAAACATTTTGCAGTAAAGGTTTAGCAATCTTATGAATAAATCTATCAAAACTGATCTAATACTGTCAAATTCTGAACACATTTACTTTTAAAGTTGTTATTTGCAGTAGTATGAACCAAGACAAATAAAATAAAACTTTGAAGAAAACCCTTGTCTTGAAATAGAGCTAGTGGTTCCCAGTAAAAAGGAACTTATAACCTTAGTTGTTAAACAGGAGATTGGTGAAGGCTTTGATTGATAAACAAGGCTGGTAAAATTATCAGGTGGCCAATAACCTTGATTAAATGGTTTGAGAATTGTAATAAAAAAATAGCATCTCTTGAGCGGAGCTGAATTGTAAAAAAAGCACACCTGAGCAGAGCCGCTGAGCTACTGTTTCTCGGCACACCGGCAGAGCACGCCCAGCGGGTGGGGCAAGCGCTGGGACGTAGTGCGCAGGGGCGGTCTGGGACTGCCCCTGGAAATGCGTAAGGTGGCAGCGGCGACGATGATGGCGCACGGGGGAGGGAGGGGCTG